TGTGGGACACTCTTGTGGGACACTCTTGTAGGACACTCTTGTGAGACACTCTTGTAGAACACTTGTGTGGGTCACTTGCAGGACACTCTTGTGGGACACTCTTACACGACACTCTTGTGGGACACTCTTGTAGGACACTCTTGTAGGAAACTCTTTTGGGACACTCTTGTGGGACACTCTTGTGGGACACTCTTATAGGACACTCTTGTGGGACACTCTTGTGGCACACTCTTGTAGGACACTCTTGTAGGACACTCTTGTGGGTCACTCTTGTAGGAAACTCTTGTGGGACACTCTTGTAGGACACTCTTGTGGGACACTCTGTGGGACACTCTTGTGGGACACTCTGTGGGACACTCTTGTAGGACACTCTTGTGGGACACTCTTGTGGGACACTCTTGTGGGACACTCTTGTAGGACACTCTTGTGGGATACTCGTGTAGAACACTCTTAAGGGACACTCTTGTGAGACGCTCTAGTGGGACACTGTTGTGGGACAGTCTTGTACGACACTCTTGTGGGACACTCTTGTAAGACACTCTTGTGGGACACTCTTCTGGGACATTCTTGTAGGACACTCTTGTAGGACACTCTTGTGGGTCACTCTTGTGGGGCACTCTTGTAGGACACTCTTGTGGGACACTCTTCTGGGACACTCTTGTAGGACACTCTTGTAGGAAACTCTTGTGGGTCACTCTTGTGGGGCACTCTTGTAGGACACTCTTGTGGGACACTCTTCTGGGACACTCTTGTAGGAAACTCTTGTGGGACACTCTTGTGGGAGACTCTTATAGGACACTCTTGTGGAACACTCTTGTGGGACACTCTTGTAGGACACTCTTGTGGTCTTGTGGGTCACTCTTGTAGGACACTCTTGTGGGCCAGTCTTGTGGGACACTCTGTGGGACACTCTAGTGGGACACTCTTGTGGGACACTCTTGTAGGATACTCTTGTGGGACAGTCTTGTAGGACACTCTTGTGGGACACTCTTGTGGGACACTCTTGTAGGACACTCTTGTGGGATACTCCTGTAGGACACTCTTAAGGGACACTCTTTTGAGACACTCTAGTGGGACACTGTTGCGGGACACTCTTGTGGGACTCTCTTCCAGCTCCCCAGATACTCCGCGTACTAAAGTTGTACTACAAGGTCGCCAGTTCTCAGCTTCCAGCTCCCCAGATACTCCACGTACTACAGTTGTACTACAAGGTCGCCAGTTCTCAGCTTCCAGCTCCACCGGACAAATCGCACTCTCGCCTGCATTTCGCGCACTCAACACGCACGATCTCCGCAGAGGGTTGCGCGCGCGTGGGACAAATCGCACTCTCGCCTGCATTTCGCGCACTCGACACGCACGATCTCCGCAGAGGGTTGCGCGCACGTGGGACAAATCGCACTCTCGCCTGCATTTCGCGCACTCGACACGCACGATCTCCGCAGAGGGTTGCGCGCGCATGGGACAAATCGCACTCTCGCCTGCATTTGGTGCACTCGACACGCACGATCTCCGCAGAGGGTTGCGCGTCAAGTCTCCAAAACGAGCGTTTCGTACGAGACTTCCTGAAAAACTCACACGTCAAAGTCTGCAAAACGAGCGTTTCGTACGAGACTTCCTCCAAAAGTCAAGCGGAAACACCCATCGAAGCACACACATCACGCAGCCCTGCCAAGCAGTTTCCGCTCACACGCCAATCCCAATGGGACAGCGACATTCACCTCTACCACAACTCACAACCTCACGATTCCCTGCGCCTGCCACGAATCTTTCCCCATCCACACGTCTAACGCGCACAAAGTACTGCGCCTGCCACGAAATGTCACCTCCCTCACACCTCGCAACCTCACGATTCCCTGCGCCTGCCACGAGAATTGCACTTCCACGCTTCAAAGCCCGCACGAAGTCCTGCGCCTGCCATGAAAAGTGACAATATCATCGCATGTGAGCTTCAACAAAATTTGCACCACACCACACGTTTGGAATGATTTCGACCCGTTCAGAGCACACTCCCATCCATCAAAATCGCCATTTCAGCTGAGACTTGTCACGAAAACAGAGCTTCGATGCCACACCCTGAAACGCAAATCCCAATGGCACGGCCACATCCAACACCCCAAAAACACGACTCTCCAAACGCTAATCCCAATGGAACTGCGCAGCAATCTGCGGATCTCACAAAACGCTGCGCCTGTGCAGCGAAATGCATCACGTTTCTTGCGCGACATGTCGGTGTCATGCAAATCACAATGGAATAGCGGCGCAAACTGACACGTGACACATCCATGAAAAGTCACTTGCAAAAGCTTCCCCCAATGGCAGCAAATTTGAGACGCGACGACGACGACAAACGACGAGAGACGACGAGAGACGACGACAGACGACGACACGACGCAAGCCACGCGAACACAGCTCCAACCCCCAGACCCCCAACAAAAAAAGGGAACCCTTCGCTACGCATTGGGGAAAAACGAACCGAACCCCCACACTCACTCGCGAACTGTCCACGGTTCGCCCCTCAAAGCCCTTCCACATAGGTGGAGTGCAAGAGAGTAAACAGGTATCCACATGTAAGACGACAAAAAACAAGGTGAGCCGGCGGACCCAAAAGCAATAAGAAGCGAGCAACCCAGGAAAAATAGACAAACACACATTAGCAGGCCAAAGCGAAGCATCTCCAGGCTTCGTGGCAACCATGATATTTCTGTTGAATTTTTGGCATAGATTTCCGGTGGCGTGCATCTTTGGCATGATCAGGGCGTCGATATGGCGGAGATATCCCAGGAGGAGAGGATTTGTCGTTTGCTTTTCTCGATCAAACCTTTGCGGGCTTCGATCTTTTGTCTGTACACTGGAATAGACCCTATATAGAAATATCGTTGCAGTAAGAAGAAAATAAGACGCTTCCCTTTTTAGTCGGGTTGGAGGTTGGATGTATTATATATATATATATCTATCTATCTCAAGTGGCTGTTTTCAATCTCTGCAGCTAGTCTCCAACCCCATTACAACATGGCTTCTGACAACCATTCCAGGAAGCATGGAGCAGCATCAGCCCCCTCCATGCTTCGTTCCAACCATCCAATTTCACGCATTGCGCTTTTGGCACGCAACAATCCTGCCGTGTCGGCCATGCATTGTGCACATTTGGGACACCCAACACAACAGCCTTCCGCGAAGCATGGAGCAGCACTACCCCCACTCATGCTTCGTTCTACTTGTGCACTGACCCGGAGCAGCCTGCAATGATGCTTGTGGTGCAACCATGTCCTCGTAACTAGCATATCAGCCGCGCAAGCGTCCACTCCCATGCCATGCACAATGCACCTCCCGTCTCGCTCCCCTCCATCTTCCCTCCCCAGCCCCGTCCCCACCCATGCGTCCCCACCCATGCGCCTCCCGTCTCGCTCCCCTCCATCTCGCCCCGGCCCCACCCATGTGCCTCCCGTTGCCAGCCCCGTCCCCCATCCACGCGCCTCCCGTTCCTGCAAAGCTTTTGGGGTGAAACCGGCCAAGGCGGAGGGCTCAAGGCCGCTCACGTGCAGCTTCTGGGGTGAAATCGGCCAAGGCGGAAGGCTCGAGGCCGCGACCGTTGCAGTGCAGCTTCCCGTGTGAAGCCGGGCGCGATCTAGCTTCGAGATCACGGTCCCGGCTTTTTTTTCGTCCTCTCAGACCTCGTAGCCATGACATCTCCCAGCCCTTCTCTTTCGGCCTCGGTGATGCCCATCCACGCAGACCTGGTCTCGGAAGCACCGCTCGCAGCATCTCCGCCCAAACGCAAGTTTTGGAGCAGGCGCACTTTGCGTTCCTGCCTCTTCTGGCGCTTGGTGGTGGCAGGCCCCGTCCCCTCGCCCAGCTGAGGCTCTTCGCGCGCCACCCTGCTGATGTATGGAACCTGGCACTGGTCACGCAGGGGCTGCGTCCAGTGCTGCTCCGAGGTGTTCGTGAAATTCACCAGAGCCACGTAATCCGTCTCGTTCATCTGGAAGAACTCCGTCCAATCACAAACCCGATCCTCGCCCTGCGCGAAGGAATCCTCACAACCGGACTGATGACTATAATAGCCACCAAAAGGAGGACGAACGAAGACGGAGGTGACCGGCTCGGTGTTCCGGATCCATTGCAACATCCAGACGTCAAAATGGCCCAGGTCTCCATGAACCAAGTCCACTGCTTCCTTCATCTGCCGAGCTTTGTCCACGGTGACGCCTACGGCCATGAGACCATGCTTGGGAACTTTCTTTTTCCCCTGCCGTCCTTCCCAGGAATACCATATCAACCCACAGTCGGCATCTCGCTGGGCCGCTACATTGTAGAGGCTCACCATGCTTCTAATGACTTGATGGCAGCACCGGACATCCTGGTTGCGTGGGTCGGCTTCTTCGTTCCCGCTCGTCGACCACGGTCGCCAATCCTCCTCCAAAATCAAACAAAGGACGTCAGATTCCAGACGTCCCTGACAGATGATGGGCAAAATGGACTTCCGCCAGCCATGTCCAACAGCTTCCCGCATCTCGCATTGAGGCTGGCGTCTGGCAGCCCGACCGAAGACCCGCAGAAACTTGAAGCTGTCCAAGCCTGCTTCCTTCACTCGAGAAAAGCCAGGCCAAATCGTATAAGGCTCCAGGTTTTGAACCGCCAGACGGAGAACCCCCCCGATCGAGGAAGAAACCGACCAGTTGGTTCTTGTGAAGGACCGTAGCAGGGACCGTAGACTCGAAAAGGGATGCGTGGGAGGGAATTTGTTTGGAGGCACCCTCAGCGTGGAGGAGTGTGAAGCGAAATAAGATTTCTTTCGGGGTTGCTCCTCAGCGTGGGCGTCCACCATGGGCGAAGGGAACCAGGCACCGTTTCGGGACGTTGCATCAGGTTTGAAGCGTGAATGAAAAGCATGTTTGAGAATGTAATGTCCAGGATGGTTGGATGGACGGACTGCAATCAGTTCAAACCCTAAACCATCGTCTGGACTGCCTCGTTCGGATCTCCAGTTTCGGGCCCCCCGCGTTGGCTGCCTGCTGAATCTGCTTCATGGAATCCTCAAGGGCCCCCGGGCCGCAGGGAGTGGAGATGGGAAACTTTGCTATAGCCTAACCCTCCAACATCATCCAACATCCAATAACTTCTGCTCCTCCAACAGGTGGTGTTTTGTTGCTAACATGTGTCTTTGGGGGGGGCACCAGACAGGTCACGAGGGTAGAGTCGGGTGCTTTTTCTACTGGTGCTGGTATATGCGGGTGCTGGTGTTGTGTACAATCCTTGACACATGTTCTATATACCAGGACCATTCAATGGGTGTTCAATGGAGATCCCGGAGAGTAGTGCAGGGTAGTCCATTGGACACCCATTGGATGGTCCAGGTATACGGTATGTGTTTGTTGATTCTTATATGACCTCTGCTTACCGCGACTGGATGTATCGGAATTTGATCCTTAGCCTTACCGGGCGTCACCCAGGGTCACCGCCACATCAGAGCACCCGAAATCAGAGGCCCAACCAAAACACACAGGAAATTCACACCTCTCTCCGTTCCTACCATCGTCCTCCCAACACTTAGTGTGTGTTTTTTCCATGTTTAGCTGGAGAACTACCAAGTGATGGAGCGAGCTCCTCCGCTCACATCTGCACCCGGCGCGACCCACAACACGCCCGGCCCCAAGGCGCCACCGGCACCGGACGGGCGCCTTGTAAGTTCGTCCACGGCAAGGCATGCCCAAGGCATGGAAACCCCAGCCTGTGACATGCGAGCTCAGGACGTGGCCGAGGTCGAAGCAAATCCTTTTGAATAGACCGATATATATATATATATATATCATGCATGTAACTGTATATAGGAAAGCATCGGATTCCTTCTTCGAACTCCTGTGGATTGCTCCTCCTATTGGCAGAGTATGGTGCTGTGACGTACTGTGAGAATTGGTCCAACTGACGGGAGCCAACTGAGGTTCATTGACTTATGTTGGCCTGTTGATCCAACTACTGCTTATATAGGTCCTATGGTAGCAAACCTTTGGCACCAAAGACCTTATAGAATGTCAAGATGGGACAACAAACTCCCCCCACCAGAAAGTCCAGAGTCTTGAAGACAACTGTTCCTTTGAAACAAACATAAGCCAAAGGTGGAATTTGTGGAATGTGGAGTATTTCGGAACACCCTACAATGGCACTAGAATGGTCTAGAAGTGCTTCGTATGACTGGAACAATCTGATCACTGATTGGACAAGGACATTGCGGATCCACTGCCAAACCCTCCTGCGTGTCCCTTTTTGGGTCAACAAATCACTCACTGGACGTCTTCCGAGGTGTAGATCGTTTTGACCCGCATCAGTCAACATGTCCTGTCAATCGCTGATAACGGTGTGACCTGACCAGTGAGTTTCCTCACTGCGAACCACGCGCGAGGAGGACAATGCATGGTCGAAAGAAGGAAGAGTGGACCACGATGAATCAATGCCGCGACAAATGATGAGCTTGTGACAGGGAACATGTTGCTTGTTCCTGTGGGACCATATTACACCATGGGATCTATATAAATCCCAACCAAGGCAAAGGACAAAACACATAGAACAAATACACACCACACACATCAAACGGTTGACCTGGTGCCGGAGCGTACCCGGTTTCAAAGCTCCGCGCGTCTCGCCCGCTGGGCGCTCCGGGCGTCCGCCGGTCTCGCGGGCCATCTTTGCAATGATGAGGCCTGGATTGAGAAGGCCTGGGGCCTGAGGCCTGGTAGGGCCTGGGAGGGCCTGGGAGGCCTTGGGGGCCTGGGTCGTATACCGTGAACCGGACGGTGAGTAGATGGTGAACCCCCCCAAGGGCTCGAAGGATCGCGGACGGTCCGAAAACGGACAGACCGGTGTCCGGTGAACCGGACTTTTGGACCCTGGATTTGAGGGTAACCAATCCTGGAAAGGTTGTATGCACTGACCACTGACCGGGTAGTTGAGGATGTTGATTGCATGTTTTGGATTCAAGAAGGTCAACTATAGTTGGGCAGGCTTTTGGATCAGATGATGATGAAAAGTATACGGATGTAAAAGCGGTGTAGTCGGTATAGTAGATGTAGATAAGGCAGCAACCGGTGGGCCAGTGGGAAGCGATAAATGGTTATAGATATTGATAATTAACAAGTAGAATTGTAAGACAACTTACGAAGTAAATGGTCACAAAACCAATTGCATGCAAACAGTACTCTTCCGCACTGCGCAAGATGATGGAGTGCAGCTCAGCACTCCATGCCCCTCTGATGCAGCATGCAACATGGTACCAGCCAGCTTTCATTCCATTTTCAGCTTGATCGAAGTACTCAAACAGCAAATCAGCAAGCTTTGTAAAGGTGAAGCAGCAACAATGATGATCCTTGGCAAATTCGATGAGAGGAGTTATTCCCCGTTTTCGTGCCACAACGATCGAGACTTACTACGTTCGCAGCCCACGACGCCCGACGTCTGCGTTCAGCTCCCCGGCCATTGTCATTTCCCGCGTCCGACAAACTGTAGCGGCCTCGCTTTCGCCCGGGCGAGGTCCCGGGTGGCTATCACGTGGGCGAGGTTTTTGGGCAGTTTTTCACATGTTGCACGACCCTGTGGGCGAACGGGGTGTCGAAGTAGGGGCTTTTGAGAGAGACAAAATCACACATGTTTTTCTGAGGTGGGGCACACAGTTCACATAGGGGCCAAATGATTCATATTGACACAAGTTCAACCTGAAACACACGGGTCCCTGGCGAAGTCGACAAAAATTGTTTCCATCGACTGTACGTGCCATAGATCCCCACACTCGGATTGGGTGCACCATGTTTTTTCAATTGTGCGACTGTCAAAACTCCTTGTCAAAACTCATGCCCCACATACAATGGGGGGCTCGTCGATTCCCACAGTTCTGGAGAAAAGACTTCAGCTACAAGAAAATGCTCTATATAAAAAAAAAAAGTAGAAGAACATGGTTGTTCGGTAAAAGCATGTAAAAGCCATTCAAGTCCGATTGCGGTTGGATGCCTGCAGGGGTCATCCCGAGGAGAAGCTTAAAGTCATGAGGCTCGAATGCTTCGGCAGAAAACGAGGTGCGACAAACGCTGACCGCCGAGCGCAGGGCCTGCTTCGACGCAGCCAGGAAAAAAAAAGAGTGGCACGGCACGGCAAGATGTCTTTTCTGATCATGTATAGCATTATCACCTATTATACAAACACACCATGTATGCCTACATTGACCCCTGAACCCGGTTCATCGTCGGCAAATAATATGGCAAATAATATGCAAACATTAAACATGGAGTGTTTGGGCTCATAGATGTCATAGCTGACTCTCCACTCTGCCGTTGACAAATCCACCAGGCTCGTCCACCTGTTGGACCACCTCCAAGGCAGGTGCAGTGACGTCCACCTCCCCAAGTCGCGAGTGCAGTCACGTGCGGACCATCTCACAACCGTCCCCATCTCCTTCGCGCAGTTGGGGTCAACTGGGTTATATAAGCGCCTGAGAGTGTTTACACACTTTCTACGGTGTTTACGACGAGTGGCAAAGCTCATTGCCCATCATGTTGTCCACGATGCGGCAGTACGGTCGAGCCACCTGCAGTCGATTCGATTCTGCTACGAGGTCTCACTACACTGCTTGGCCAGCGGAAGCGAGCTGCTTGGTAAGCATGAACTGTTCTAGATATCTGCATAGGACCGGAGGTGGTACATGGGCTCAAAAAAGTGAGATGATATGGCATCTTGGTACCATCCCATGCAGCATCTCAGACTTTTATCATCATTGACAGTTGACACCCACAGCAACACACCGAAAGGTGAGAGGTATATGGTAGTTATAGAAGCTGAAGTTAGAAGTCTATCTTCAGCAAGGAACAGGGACCACGGGTGAATAATAGGTGGAATCCGGTCAAACAAGGCACACAATCATTTCAATCTGTTTCCAGCGCCTAAGGCGCTGTGTCGTCTGAATTTACCAAGCCAGCTGCAGCTTTCCCCGTCGTCACCAGGGCAAAAGTGTTTAGAACTATACTTAGGGGGAGTCTAGCTCCTATTATAGACCCTAGGGCTCCGAATACGTAAGAAGGTGTTTGGGGGTGGTGCCAGTAGGGTCCAGTCATACCATCTGAGGAGGTACGACTGAAGACATGGACGCAGAGATCGAACGACGGACGTCAAACGTCATGCGCTGCGTTCGGGTGAGCAGAACATCCGATTGGATGAGACGGGTGCACGGGTGGTGCAAGTAGGGAGACCTCCCTTTCTTTAAGACCCGCATCTTGCAGAAGAATACGGTACGATGCAGAATCACAGACAACAGCAAAAGAAGAACTCCAAACTGACTGGACACTCTGTATCACAATTTCAGCAATTGTACTAAAAATAGGGGTCTCACCTGTCTCACCTCGCCACTTCGTCAAACCAACGAGACTACCAACCTGCCAGGGGCGATCGGGATTCTCCTGGGATCGGACACAGCGTGGAAACTGCCAGGTGTGCTTTTTCCTTCTGGGCATTTTGACTATGTAACACACTCCAGAAACTCACCTCCCCTTGGTCTTCGACCCCCTCCCATCGATGATTGAACACATGGTTTCTGTTGGAGGGTGTTCCTGTAAGACCCACAACAGGCCTTATCAAATACCACCAGTCTCCGTGGAGCTCTGGGAAACCACCGGTCGACCGGTGATCACCACCCGAGCTCCACCGAGGCGCGAACCTGTCGGAAGGAACGGTTGGCTGAATAAATGTTCACCACAAAGAAGACCTGGCAGTCACGTGTCCGATGCTTGCGCTGAATTTTGACCTACAAACTGTTGTCCTCACTGATGGACGCAAAGAGAGAGAGAGAGAGAGAGAGAGATCAAGGGAATATCCATTGACTTCAATAAGTGGACGCAGAGAGAGATCAAGGGAATATCCATTGACTTCAACAAGTGGACGCAGTGAGAGATCAAGGGAATATCCATTGACTTCAATAAATACCAAGATCCTATCCAATTTGTCTAAGCCGCGGAATGACTTGAACAATCTCCATCCAGGTGGCATGATTTGTCCAAGACTGGTACTCTTGAGGCACTCGATTCTTTGAAGAAAGCGATCGGACCCAAGTCTGGCCGGTCTGGGGTCTCAAATTCACGATGAAGGACCAAGGGCTGTGAACGGAGCGTCAGTCTGGGTATCGCCAATTGTTCTTACTACAGGCCAGACTGGCTTTGCTGCCTGGTTCCTAGATGGGAAGCTAATCGCTGCCTGTATGGTGGGAAGCTGATCTGATCGAAGAGATGTAGCTTCTCCCTGTTCTGGCGCAGCTCTTCCTGCGAACAGTCCTGCCCTATATTCTCTGAGGTTATAGGGACCCTGACAATAGTCACAGTCAACCGAACAATGCAACATTGAAACCCAAGCCTGGCTAGAACCTGAAGAAAGACCATGCACCCGGAAGAGGTCCTTCTTACATAGACAGGGCAACACCCACTGAGTGTACCTACAGCACGGTTCACCAGCGCAACAACTTTGCTGGACAAAAAACGTTGCTTATGGCCTGGCCTGAAAGAACTGGGAGGTTCTGGTATATGTGCGATATCAGCATTCTTGTAAACCATCTATGTCTGAAAGGTTACCAAGCCCACTCAGGGTTCCAAGAGCATCCAAGAGCTGCTCAGGCCTGTTGCACGTGGGGTTGGATGCGATTCAAATCCACTTGGATTTGTTCATCATCTCCATCTCCATCGCCTGGTGGCAACCCAATCAAAGCGCAGAAGCAGCCCGCATGCAGCGTTCTTCTACTCTTCTACTGTATTTGGGTCTCCAATGCTCGTGGCAGGTGCCAAAAAGCAATACTACTCCTGGATGATCTGCATGCTATGTTCCAAGACGCTGCTTTCTGGACAACACTTCCCTCAGGAGTACCTGGCCCTCCAAACTTGTATAACATACCTAGATGTTCCGAAGTCTTTTATTTCTGCCCGAATGGTTTCAGGCTGCTTTTTCTGCCCGAATCTCAGGTTTCCGCCTGAGGCAGAAATTTCTGCCTGAAGGCAGCTGCAGAAATTCAGAATTTGTAAATCGTAACATCAGTGCCAAAAAAAGTCATGAATCATGATTACAACATATTGCAAAACAGGGTGTTCGGGTAAATCCGCCCGAATGCCGGGAAGTTCCGCCCGAATGCCGGGAAGTTCCGCCTTTTTGAAACGCAAGAAATTCTCTATTGTTTTACATGTAGACCTGTTTGAGCTTTGCAGTTTGCAAATTACGGTTCCTCGTTGAAACCACCTGATTTGGAAGATCCGCCCGAGGGCGTTTTTTCTGCCTTTTTCGCAAAAAAAACGATTTCCAGGAAAAGGCAATAATTACAGTCTTTTAGAAGATGCAGGTATAAGATATTCTTTCAACATAGGACGCTGCGCTAAAAACCATCTAATTAGCCGGTCCTGGAGTGTATTCTGTTCATTCAAAGGACCAAAAAACAACAATCTTCAACGAAACAAGCTGGTCCGCTCTTCCAACGAAACGATGTCCGAGAAAAAAGAAAGCCCCCCCAAACCAAAATCCTAAACCGCCCCCAACGGACAGAAGGCCTGTCAGATTGTCACCACTGTGGACAATGCCATTCTGGATGGACTCCAAGTGTCCAAAGAACACGGCCTGGACGTGGAACGAGGATCGGTCGGCCACGGGGGCAATGGCCCTGGGCCACACCTTCGTATACGCCCCGCCTCATGACGTCAATACAGGAAAGAAGCAGAGTGGAAGATATGTCGATGTCGCATCTCATGAAGCTTGGGTATATAATTACATCTAAGAGTGCACCTGGGTAGACCATGGTACTCTTGGGTACAAAAAACTATGACACATAACGCAAAGAACTCTACTCGTGGGAAAGGCGTGGAACGTGATCCGCATCCGCCGCATCCTCCGTCCTCCACATCCTCCGCGCGGTCATTGAGCAGAACCTTAGAAAGATCAACCACTCGCAGTTGGGGGGGATGTTGTGGGATCCACACATCCGAAACACATTTGTAGCTAAATAATCCGAAACACAGTTATGGGACTGACATATTTAGCTTACATTGGGCCCTGTCTGGGAATGTCATGAACATGTTATTCGGACCCTCAGTCTGGGATCCACGGACTGGAGACCCCCTTCACTTGTTGGGGGCGATGCACGGGAAACAAAGAGACACACACACATCGAATCCATGGGTTCCAGCAACACTTCAATCAGTTTCCGGTGGTTCTTGGATGAACCCATGGGGGTACTTCTCTCATTGATTGGTTGATGTATGTTGCGGGTATCTCCCATGACCTGTAACAGTGGATGATGAATGATGATGGTTGGTTCAGTTGCGGGCCGACATCCATCTCTAAAATAGTGATGTTCTTGTTTACCGACACCCCCCAGGTGTATGAACCACCCAGTTGAATCCAAAAGGATCGCCGACTCCCCATTTTGAAGTCAAGCTGCCCAATGAAGAGCTGCTTGGAGAGTCAAAATAGTCAAAGAGAGTCAAACACTGCCATGTTGAAGTAACCAAGCAAAGAAGCAAAGAAGCAAAGAAGCAAAGAAGCAAAGAACCAACCAACCAACCAACCAACCAACCAACCAACCAACCAACCACCCACCCACCCACCCACCCACCCACCCACCCACCCAAGAACCAACCCAACCACCCACCAACCCACCAACCCACCAACCCACCAACCCACCAACCTATACCTAGACCATGCTAGACCTACTCACCCTTACCTTCTGAAGTAACAACCTCAACTCCAGCTCCCCGTCCACCATCCGGACTCCTTGACGACGTTTACTCTGTGCTCGGCCTGCGCCCGGCCGGGCACAACGGGCCACCACACGGCTGAGACGTCCAGATCCACTTCGCCCTGGTCCACGTCCCAACCGAGGCCCACAGTGATGGAGCCCATGCCCTGTCCACGGTGGCATACGGTGCACTGTATGCCGGCATGGCAGCATTTGCAGCTTTTTGGGATTTGCTTCTTTTCTTTTCTCCAGCAACCGGCAAGCAACTCATTATCAAAGGAAGACTCTTTTCCCAGAAGTAAAAAGATTCACCCATAGGGAAAATCAACATGGATCTCCGCACCAACCAAGAACCAGCTTCCCAGGCTTCCGTGACCTGCGACGGTCACCAAATGGGGACCCTTTCAGATCGACCCACGGATTGGCCAATTGGGGCCAAGGGGTCGCCACCGGGCGGGCTCCTGGTTGACTTGGGATGACTGGGGGGTTCAACTTACTGAGATTCTCAGGATACTCTGGTGATTTCTGGGGTCTCTTGCAAGGATCTGTTCTTACTTCAGAGTATCTGGTGAATGCAGCAACTTATCAGATGGAAGCAAGTAACACAAGTAAGAAACATTTCCCTTGGTCAGACATGCTGAGCACACTTGAACATCCATCGAAGCAACAGCCCTTGCCCCCAATGTGTGTTCCAAGACTCATGACTTGTGGATTCATCATGATTCATCTTTAGATGTGTTTCCGCTAGACCAACCAGCCTACTCTCTTGCTTATCTGTGGTTATACCTACTCTCCGTACTCTCCGTTTCTCCTTTGGACCGAATCGCATTGCCGACCGAATAGCCGAACCACTGTGGTTTACGAGTGCCCGAGCGGGTCCGATGATCCTTCAACAAACATGACGATGCGTGGTTCTGACGATGCTAAGATATGCAAAGGTTCAGTGAACTGTGGTGTCCCACACTGAAGAAGAATGCAGGATTATCCTGCAGTGGTTTTTGAATATGAACCCACCAGGATCTGAATACAGCCACCCTCTTCCCGCGAATCGCCCTCCGGCGCACCAGGGGCATGTCTAAGACACCACCCTTTTCCATGGCAAAAGCCACCTGGCCGCGATGCAATCTTTTGCGTGGAAGCTCGGGCTTCACCAAAGTCATCGCCCAGAAACTCGTCTTCACTTGATTGGGTTGTCAGAGGGAATCCACGGGAGTGGATCAATGGATTCGTTCACTCTGTTTCTCAATCGGAAACCACAGTTCCTCTGACCCGTCAAACCATGGGTTTCCTGTAGATGTTCCGTTCATCGCTCTGAATCGCTCGGATCAATGACTCCACAACTCTCGGTGCTTGTCGTGAGCCCGGGAGGCGTCTAAAAAAGGGGGGAGTTACCCAAGCACTACAAACTCACTCCACAACACCTGGAATATCTGCCATTGAGACTGAAAAACATACAGATAGATAATGAATAGACTATAGATATTACAAACGATATAAACAAGTAAACCACTCTTTAAAAAAACATATACAATCATATAAACACTTAAAACAAGTAAATATATAGCAATTAACCACTCGTTCATACATATGCCATGGAGTGTTAAGGAATCTTGGCTCTCTCTATCCCGACTAACATCCACCCCCCGTCGCACGTGTCATTTTGTCTCAGAGCTCATCGCGCGGCTCGCTTGGCGAGGTGGATGGCCTGATGGTGACCACATGGTGACCACTGTGCGGAGCGAAAGGTGGGGCGCCAGGCGAGCTCGCCAAAAGACGTACCCATAGGGATGTATTAGGAATTGTGAATTTGGGATGGTCGGTTTCGGAGGTGAGAGAAAGTACTTATATAGGATGTGAACACACATGTATATATAGGTATATATGTGTATATATATATGTATATGGGACATATGATTAAACCCATAATGCCGGTTTAACTTTCTTACGCCCAAATTCGACAAGGCCAGCCAGCTTGGTTCATCTTGGGAGGTTTCTTGCTGTGGGCATGGAAACAGGTTCGCCAAGTGCTGCACCTGCCACGAAATCTGGAACACATACCAGCAGTTCCAAAGCCTCAAGGGGCTAGACTTTGCGTGCGGAACTTGCAGGATAGGGGTGCCCATGATCCACTCACAGGTCTGGTAGGATACAGGTCTGGTTGTTGTCGAGGTGGTAGTGTAATGACTTCAGTTCGAGGATCATGGGGGACCCCCGATCGCCCCAATGGGTAGACCGGTAGACTGCTCTTTTTCCTCTTTCCGGATTCCGGAGGCTCTTTTAGGGTCTCCTACGGCCTTCGGATTTGGAATAACACCCACCGATTCACCAACATGGAAGTGAACATAAACAGTTTTCAGGGGGAAGACTGCCAACCCCCTGCCATCCACTTCCATGTTTCCAAGTGAGTCTTACTTCGAGCCCATCCATGTCACATACCCTGACATTTCATGGGAGTGACTGGCATATTTACCTATAGTACATTGGGATGGATTTGCGATGCTTTAAGGGTCAATGTAGGTAGCTATAGTTGTTCCATATAGTGAATATGATGATTTTTGATGATACCATGGAGTGTGGGAGCGTTAACAAAGGACCAGTCAGTGATGGACGTCGGTGGCTTCATGGACCACCGGGCTGGGGGAACAGCCGACAGCTGCGGTCCCTGGTTGCGCGGGTTCCACTGGCTCCCTGTTGTTTCATGGAGAAGACCCTGGAGACTGGAGACCCCCAGTATCCTGTTCCTCACCAACAAAGGTTTTTTCAGAACCCGAGGGTTCGACTATCCCAGTTGGGTACCCCAGGTTCATGTAGACTCTTGATGAACAAACCCACAATTTTCAAGTGGCGATCCTCTTCAGGGCTGGCGGGGGTGAAATACAATCAAGATCCATCAACCAGCAGTCACAAAGGGGTGCTTAATGGAGGTTAAGGGTGCCCATTATCCACTCACTTAGGGACTAAACACCACCCCTTTGTGACTCCTGGAAGACTCTACATGACGGGTCCTCTTTACGGTCACTGAAAATCACCTCGGTGAGTGGCGACCGCTCCGCCGCTCCGCGACAGGCACCCGAAGACAGGCACGCCAAGTCGCTCGTGGCTCGAGTCCTCGGTGCCAGCGAGTCTGGAGGGAAGAACTGGGGACTGTGGACCTTCCAGGAAGTGGTTCCACCTGGACCAAACGCTGCCTTTTTCGACCAAACTTGCTTAGTTCAAAACCTATATATCCCAGACCAGAGTTGTCTGGGACTGCCATATATGCCAATCAGCTGGGGTGGTTAGGGGGGTCAATGTATGCATATAGTATGGCATACATGGAGTGTTTGGGTATACAACATATTATGCAACACCCCCTTGGGTTTTCTTGGACCTGCCACAGCTAGATGAACAACACCAAACCAAACCAAGCTTAAGGGGTTCCAGGCCATTCGCTCATACTCCAACTAAATGCGGTTCCTCCTACGGCCCAGCGGTCGTAAGGATCTTTGGGTCGTCACCGGCAGTGGAGAAAAACAATGTCCCCCCAACGCCCCAAGCTTTTACCTGGAGCCTTTTTTTGACCCCTGTTTTGGAGGATCAACTATCCAAAATATTCCAAAATATGGTCTTTTCCTTTCAAAACAGAGGTCAGTCAGGCTCTAGGTAACGGAAGTGCTACCAAAGAATATCAACACATCCCAAATGACCTCAGCACCCTCAACGCTAGTTTCGGAGTTCATGATCTCTCATGTTCTTAAGATCTTCAAATTCAATCAGTCATCATTGAGATTGAGATCTCACCCACATTGAAAAGAACTCCACCCGGTCGCTCCCTGGCTGCCCGGTTGCTCCCTCGCAGCTCGTCCCGCCGTTCCTTCCCCGCATGTCCGGTCCTCGTCTTCGTCCGAGGACTGGCAGGTGCCCACCCAGGGCAAGAAATCCTCCTTGGCTTCAGCGAACCTGCTGCGGAGCGGAGCGGTCACTTCAAAGCTGAATCAGATCCAGCATCCCTCAGCATCCCTCAGCAACCCTCAGCAACCCTCAGTCACGGGTGGTTCATATAGTGTTTAAATAGTATAAACAAAGCAAGCCACCAAGAAGCAAACATCATATACTGAAATATGCCTGTCTTAAGTGGAACAATTCTGAACTCTTCCAGTTGTGTCCATTTCTCTCGACAAGCATACGATGACGACCCATCACTGGAGCGCCCCACCGCATATACTAACGCCCGGTGGACGACGCATCACTGTTAGCCGGTCAGTCGATGTCGTCCCCTCCGACCTTAAAACGACCAATGCCCGCAACGAGGTCATCTGCAGATCGCAGGGACCCTCACTGCCACCATCCTGAACGGGTCGGAAGGCACGAGCGGTGGACTCTCAGGTGCAGGTCGGGGACGAATGAGGTAGTTCATTCGGAGCGTGAGATCTGTTAGGATCTCTAGACTCTGCGGTTCTTTCGCAGGGCCAGACTCTGTCTGAATCTGCCAGATTCCCTCTCCCATCCTGTTCCCCCTGATGGTTTGTTCGGGCCTAAACCACTTTTCCCCAAGAGAACCGATGCCCAATGGCATCCACTCTCTGCTCGCCTGGCCACCCCCCAGGGCAGGCCACCAGCGAGGCAACGGGTCAAAGCCCGGCAGGAGCCAGGCCATCGGCCGCAGCCACTTCGAAGGCATCCTGGAAAATCAAAAAAACACTTTTAACATGGAAGAACAAAGAAAAGCCTTTTGGGAGTCATTTGTGTGAGTGTGTGTTCTTGTTTTAAATAAGCAACCATTGTTTATACTTGTTTATTAGTGGGTGTAGGCATGTGGAAGTGGTCAGGTGAGGTTGGAAGGTTGAGGTTGGGAGGTTGGGAGGTGTTGGTGAGGGCATTGGTTGAGGGCGGAAGATTCTTGGGTGGTAAGTGGAACGGTTGAACGAGCATGAATTGAATAGACCTTCGACACTGCACACATCTGGGTGTCTGACATGGTTGGACTCACTTGACTGAATTGCTTAGTATTCATAAGCCGGATAAAAATCAGCGTTTGGGATTGACCCAGGAACTGACATCAACATCACCCCAAATGAAGCAACGTCAACATATCTGTTCCCCAAACCCAGGCGCTGCGTTAATCTCGTCCTCTTGCGGCCCAGAAGGGACATGATGAAGGGCGCATCAGGCTCGATGGAGATGGCAGAGACATGCAACAAGGAAAGGCTGGGCCAACCTCCAGTGAGCGAAACGCTCTGTGCGCACCCGCTTTGGGCAAGAGGATCTGTTCAAATACCAGAATGACTTCCCTTGTGAAATCACATGCAGAACTGAGGCCAATCATAAGTGCCACTAAGTTCCGAGTTCCATGAGTGCCACGCAATTGCATTCCTCGAGTCTCATCCACATCCCAGATACATCTGGAAGTTTGACTTGACTATAAACTATCTCAAAAACTGTAAAGATCTGTAAAGCAGAAAACCTACAAAGCCCTTCAACCACCTGGGTGTGTGAAACAGTGGGAACCGATAGAAAAAAACGTGGCTCTGACCCAAATATGCAGAAAGCAGATGTAAGCTAGTGGCTCTGACCCACCGGCTCATATCCGGTTCCGTCCCAGTTGCATTGGAGATTTACCGTGTTCCGCCACTGAACAACCTCCCAAAACGTTCTTCAGATGATGGGTAGTTCTTCTGCAGTTCCTGGATCCTTTGGCTCCCCGCCTTTCACCTCGGCACTGAGCTGTAGGAATTCCTCCCACCTCGGTTCGAGGAAGGACGATGAAAACCATTTGGCACCACATAGCAGTGAAATCCCATGAAGCTACATACAGTAGTGACCGATTCCTACAACTCTAGTGACTCTAGTGGAGTCGAACGAACTAAGCAAGCAACTTGCAAACGACCAGTCCACATGGTGTCGTGACCAAACTTACAACTCTAGTGACTCTAGTGGAGTCGTTTTGAAGCAAGGAGGGATTTTGTACTACGAGGGGTCGGCGCCACAACAAAGAAGTGGGCCATGCTCGCCACTTGTAGACAACCAAGAATTCACACATCTCACATGGCTTGCTTGAGTGCCCTTGGTTACCGTCCAAGCAGCTGCTCCAAGCGTAGCTCCAAAGAACCTTGTGGCAGGCCTTGGATCT